TACCGTAACTACTGTTCGCTTTTTTAATTATCTATCTATCGCTGGCTTCTCTGCCAGGCTTATATGCTAACGAAGCAGTCTCGAATGCACTCGGGCCTCCCCGATCATTCATGATCATTCGAGAAATTTCACGCACGCTACCAGCGCCAAACGCACCAGCAGCGTCACGTGACTTCCGCTGTCGTAACATAAGATACGTGCACTTACTGAATTTGAAAAGTGTTAGAACTATTTTAATTCAAGAGGAGGAGTATCGTTATTTAAGTAACGAGGATTCTGTTTGCCATAGAGACTTTACTTACTGAACACCCTAAGTCTGGGAACTTGTAGTTAAAGCTTCTTGTGAAACTACTTGTCTAGTAATGTTATTGTGCTTGGATTTTATAACTAGTGAAAAAGACTCTCTAGATCAAACAGAATTATCTCTTCCTGAAATAAAAACGTCTCTTCTGTTGAATTAAACTGGCCAAGTACATTTATTTCATTGTTACTGTACAAATAATTCAATAAGAATTTTGCTCAGGATGGAATTAAAATGTTTCGAAACGTAGAGAAAATATGGTGTTCATCATATCCATCATCAAGAATTTTGGTAGCAGCGTTGCAGGACCTTGAAATCAGAAGTGATATAAATTATATCTCCACACATAATCCTGTATGATTCTGAGGATCATCCAATTGCAATAATTTAATACTACATCAAAAAAAGAATTAGTTAGGGTAAGTAGGAGGAGAGGAAGGAACAGGTAGTCATTAGTATTAACTCGATATTCTTCTTTTGTTACTACTACTCCTAAGCTCTTGTTAAACGAGTAGTTCCAAATAATGAGTACATATTATAAATGTTTTAGTAATTCAGAGAATATCATGTAAAACGATATGCAATATGTGGTTGTTCCAGTTGGGTTCCCTTAGTTCTAAAATGATTACAAGTTCATACATCGAGTTACTCGACAATGTTGTTAAAAAACAAACCGAGCTACTCAACAGTGTTGATAAAACACCCACACACCGAACTACTCAACAGTGTTGTTAAAACACATTCACCGAGCTAAACAACAATGTTGTTAGAACACACACATTGACCTACTTAATAATGTTGTTAGAACACACACACATTGACCTACATAACAATGTTGTTAGAACACACACACATTGACCTACTTAACAATGTTGTTAGAACACACACACATTGACCTACTTAACAATGTTGTTAAGATACTTGGATTTCTAACTCTTGCTCACTTTTGAACTATCCAAAATGTGAATAATCAGTCCATCATGTTACTGTTTGGTTTTTTTTAAATAAACTCTTTATTTTTATGAACAATATTTATTTTTTTGAAACTCAATCATGACGAAACTAAGCTAACGTCATAACCATTTGAGATACATGTAAGTTAAAATATACTTACCATATAACCCATTTCGTGATTATCATGATAGCGTCACTAAGGCTAACGAAGACGTCCAACAGAGGTTTACCTTTCTCTCCCATTTTGGCTAATGTAACACCCAGTGCTACAGAAAACACCACAAGCCCCAGAATATTGGTCCCTCCGCTATACTTATTACTTATGTTCCAGTCATATTTATTTGATTCTAAAAAAACGAAATAAAATAGTTAAGTTACTCATTTTTAAGATCATCGTTCTTAATAGCCATTCATCACGAAACAAAAGGAAAATTCTAATTATTTCGTTACTTTTCTTATTAACACTATACCACAACTAAATATATATAGTTCGTTACTGATAATACGTATTAACTAAGTATAATTTCTTATTGATATTAGGCTACAATTAAGTATAGTTCCTTATAGACACAATACAACAGTTAAGTATAGTTTTTTACACTAACCTACAACCAAGTATAATTTCTTAAATGACACTACGCAACAGTTAAGTATAGTTTTTTTTACATTATGCCATAAACAAGTAAAATTTTTTTTATTGATACTACGCCACAATTAAGTATAGCTTTTTTATCGACACTATACCCCAACTAAGTATAGAAATACTGTCTACAGTGACGTGTATCAAACACGAAACGTTTTCCCGTCCATATGAAGATATACTATGCATTTTTTTAACTTTCTTCTTAAGTATTATTTGGACAACTTAGGTATTTGAAGCTCGCAAGAGACCGGATGTGTTGTCCATTTTCTCAACTAGCTAAACAAGTTGTCCACTCAACTCTTTAGTATTCTTCTTGCCAGATGTCTCTCAAACCCCGAGTAAGTACTGTTATGTAATGATCGACTAGAAACAAATATTTCATACAAGTATTGCTAATTTTTCTTGTTGTTTATTTTAATATTCGTTTTGTTTCTTATATAACGTTAAATGGAGCATGAAAAAGTAAAATGAAAATTTAAAGTTGATTTAGGGAAAGAGGGACTAGAAACGAACGCTGGAATGCTTGATTTAAATAACGAAATAGTTACTACCGGTAACAACATTTTCTGCAAGTTTTAGGGTTAGTAGTAGAGTCGTATGTCATATGACCATCACCATAAGCATGAGTGCGTGAGTGTGTATGGTCTTCAGATTATATATACGTAAAGAGAAACGCTTAAATTTTATTACATTTAAGTTCGGAGAGAATGTTAGGGTTAAGGCACACAGAGGTACTAATTTTTATTAAGATCACAAATAGTAATGTTTAATAACTGTATTGGTGCGATAATAAAACTAGTGGAAACAGCGTCTGTACAAATCCTACGTGTGACTTCGGCTTTAAAATAAACATGAGTTTAAGTATTCTAACTGATTCACACGTTAAATAAATATTATAATCATATTGTATTATAATTCAACTCTTTACAAGCGTAATGACTAAGTTAGATATAAATTCTATATTTTTGTCATTTGATGACAGGAGTAAGCGTGAGAGGGTTTTTTATTAATAATATTAGCATATATTACAACACTTTAATTTTAAACAAAGAACCAAACATCGACAAATAAAAACTCGAAAGAAGAGATTTTAAATGAGCTACACAACTCTACTCTAAAGCAACACCCTTAGTTGCCAAGATACCTTTACTGAGCTGTTAAGTAATTTCCGGTCATGTGACCTCTTTGTTCAATACTGTATATGTATTCCTGTGTCTGTGTAAGTTACTTGTACCTGATGATTACAAATCTTGTCGAAACATTGTGTATTTGTCAGTATGTTAAACTTGAAATACAGATTTGTTTATTACCCATTCACGTCCTATTCAGATTTCTATATTTTCGTAGGTTCATTATTTGGCACAAATGTACGCTTAATCGTACTACACTTCATTTATTAATTAAATGTGACTACAAAGCACGTTCACACCAACAGTATGTTTGATTTACTAAATGTAATTTTCATATTCTTTATTAATTAACTCAGTAGTTGTTCGTCTTGAGAGGAAAATAAACATTTTCGCCTTCTCTACAAAACAATAAACATCCGTATATTTACTTTGAGGTCTTATGTTTTGAAACATAACATATATTTATTCAATAACTGTTAGTAGATTTACTTCCCGATAAACAAGAAATTAAAGAAATTTCGTCTAAACCATTACACTACATACTGGTAAAATATATCTGAACAGGACTTTTCTTTATAAAAAGGAGCACATTTCACCAACGTGGTTGCTCCTTATCTTATTTTCACTTCTGCGTTTTGGAAAACAGGAACAAGATGTCTTATGAACAATAGTTTTGTTCACGATGTGAGGATTATAAATATTAATCGATTAAACAATTTATTACGAATATTTTTGAGTACCTTCTGTCATATTGGAACTTGTCGTGTTGTCTACATCTTCATTGTTGTCTACAGAATTCGGAGGAACGAGTACAGTTGTGAACTAAAACAAAAAGAAACGATAAGTTAATAAGTTTCAAATAACACAAAATCGATGCTCTTGCTAAGTTTCTATCTAACTTGGTATAGTCAACATAAACATTCGCATAAAATTAGATCGACAAGTTGCCATCCAAGATGATATTACATCATATTTCCATCCAAAATGATATTACACCATATTTCCATCCAAGATGATATTACATTATATTTCCATCCATTAAGATCTTAGCTACCCTATAGCATGGAGTCCAGAAAGTTTCACTTAAAAGTAATTGCAAAATAAATAATTTACTTTGAGACTGATAAAGTGAACACTGATAAGTAATATCTACAAATTATACTTGTTTCCACCCATCATTTAATCACAATATTGATTTAACCCTCGCCTATTGACATTTAGTTTCTAACATTTATATAGCTTGACATGTAAGGTTTGCAGTCACTGATTAACCTCTCTCTCTCTCATTATCAACATCTTCTTCAAAGCAATGAGTGGAGCAGCTCGGACTTGGTGCCAAACTTGAGCTGGAACCTGTATCATAACGAGAACTTTCATGTGATGTCCAGTGTATGGTGAAGAACCTTGTTGAGGTCAGGGAAGATATAGAATCAGCCTCTGCTTTGTACGACAGAGTATTGCAGGGTGAGCTGTCACTAACATCTCTCAATAACAACGATTATTTTGCCAAAATTAGCAGGAAGTTACATGACAGAAAACTGGCGTTGACTGGTAAAACCAGTAAACTGTGGCTTCAGTACATGTCAATGGTGGACATATTGAAACGTTTTCTGAAAGCAGAGAGAACAGGAAACTGGCTATGGCATTTGACTGCTGTACAAGAGATACTGCCATACTTGGCTGCTGGACACAACATTTACATAAAATCTGCTTATTTCTACCTGCAACTGATGAGCCAACGTAAACAAAATCCATCCTGATGTTCACAAAAGCTTCAATGACAGATACCACGTTGTTTGACGTAGCAACAGATATTGGGCTGGCCTTTCATCTGCTTTAACTATTGAGCAGACTCTGATGCGAAATGTGAAATCAACTGGAGTTTAACACGCGGAAGAGGAATGATCAAGTCACAATGTGTCAGTTGGCTCCCGTCTGTGCCAGCATGTGCTGAAATAAACAACGTGATACATGAAATCACAAGAACACATCGACGTTCGAGCGACCAACACAGAGAGATGGGACAACAAAACCATCAAAGGACGCCGAGCACATGATGTCTATCCTTTCACACCTCCATGGAAGAAACCCATTTGCTGCAGACCCTACCCTCAAAAACACTGCGACTGGTGTTGTTGGTGATGCATCTGCAAATGCCAACGAAGCAAAGGAAGTCGACCTTGAAATAATCAAAAGCATAGGAGATTAGATTGCAGCAGAATTCACCCCGAGGAAAGAAAGATCAAGTTATGACCCCTGTATCAGTCGACCCACAGCTGCTATTTTGGTGTTTAGTGGCAGCAGCTAATGTGACTTATGAAGGCAAGAAAGATATCTTCCAATATGAACTTTGAAGCTTCCCATTCTTACTGTTTGATTCCCAAGACTTCCTTCGGCAACCAAACAAAGCATCGCTAGCTGATGAAGTTTGGGAGCTTCTTCAAGACATCGCCCCAAGTCGACCACCATGCAATGATGTGCAGTTTGTGCTTGATGGAAGCTCCCTACTGCAATGACTGCAGGAAACGTGGAAGCACTTTTCAGAACATCATTGACTCGTATGTCCACTTTGTCAGTGAAACGTATCTCAAGGTAGTTATCGTCTTTGACGGGTACATGTCTGGCCCTTCGACAAAGGATATGACCAACTTCAGACGAGGGAGGGAACTCCAAGGAATGGCAGTACACTTTCAATCCACAAAAAGACCAACAAGGAGAATAAACAGCGCTTTATTCATTCAAACATCATCATGTAGTGTCATTCATGTCAAGGGTGACGCTGATTTGCAGATCGTCAGGGAAGCAACGAACTGTGCCAAAGTCAACATCATAGCCGTTGTTGGAGAGGCCACAGATCTTTTGGTGCTACTGGCAAATCACATTTATGTAGCTTCTAATGACATTCTTCTCTTTACAGACAAACAACCAAAAAGACTTGGAACATGAAACAGCTGGTCACTACTCTAAGTACTCTTGGAGATTTACGTCATCAGCTCCTGTTCCTACATGCTTTCACGGGTTGTGAAAACCAGTTTACTGGTTTTGCCAGTCAACGCCAGTTTTCTGTCATGTAACTTCCTGA